AAAAAAAAAAAAAAAAGGATGCGGGAAAAAGAAAAGAAAGGAAATGAAAGGAAAAAGGATCTGGACAATGGAAATGGAGAAGTACTTATAGAGACTTTTTCAGGCCTTACCTGATATTGAATTTGAGTTACATAGATGAACAGTGGAATAGCATAGCATACCAGATCAGAAAATAGAGAATTATTTCGCAACCTTGAAAATATTAATGAAACAAATTTTAAGCTAGGAAAGAAGAGTGACATTAATGGGTAATGAAGATATCAAAAGAGCTCCAATCTGAAAAGGGATGTTGCAGAAAATATTACATTCATTTTTCAGATAAAAAATGTACACAAACAAGTGTCACAGAGAAGCATGAATAAAAAGGAATACATACTCCATTATTATGTACACATTATTGCTGTCTTCACAAGCATCATAAAAGCTGACAAGATGCCTGTGGCCTGAGAGAGCTTTCAAAATTTTCACTTCCCGGCGAACATCTTCAATTGATATTGCAGTTGTCATCTGTCAAAGAAGCCTGTTTAGCGAAATATCCAGTTTCCGAAATTATCAGTTAGAATATCATTGTAGAATCTAAGAACAACCCTATGGGAGATACCATAACTCTTTTCATTTAATTTATCTTCAAATAATTTACCTAGAGACCTCTTACGTCTATCCTGAAATGACCACTGGATACAAGACTAACATCTCTAACTAGTGAAGAAATATTGTTGTAGAAATCAATTTCTGATGAGTATTATTTTGGTTGCGTACCATGAATACCATAGCTTTTATCAAGTTACTACCTGTTTCGTAAGACTGCAGGTAACCAAACCTAAAAATATCTATGTTATCTTAGTTTTACAATGTGTCGCATGGGCCAGGGAAAATGTTTTTATTTGACATCAATGAGGAAATTGTTCGAAGCCCCGCAATGTCAGTAAGGGGCTAGTTTATAGTGCATTTAGAATCCGTCCCCAATGCCTCAAATGTTCTTCCATTACAACCGTAGCTTTTCAACAATTTCCACAAAAACAGTCCAGTGAATATAATAACTCTTCATTTTCCCCTCTACCATGCGTCTATTACCCATTTATACTCTGTTATGTGCTTCTTGAAGACTTGACAAATGAAATATGTACTCTAATCTTGTCTGATGTACTCGAGAGTAAAACACGGTATTTCACTTAGATGACACAAGATTTTTTAGAATGACCATTAAGCTAATGCATCAAAGTCTTCAGCAGTTTCTGATATATAAATGGAGACACGTTTAGTGGGTCTATCATATGGGCTATCTCAAGATTTAAAAAAAAAAAAATAAATAACTCAGTTCTTTCCCGTAAAGCATTTGTGATCACTACATTAAAAGGTGTCACCTACTCATTTTGAGAACAGTTGCAGTTATAGCTTATAGGCCACCTAATATTTTGTAAAAGAACGATTATTGAGACACACTGAAATTTCAAAAGTAACACCATAAAGATTTGTTCAAAGGTAACATCATAAAGATTTGGATCAAGTAATCGGAAATCTTCTTCAGATTTATGATCTTTGATAAACTTTACATCGGCATACCCAGATCAGAATCACATTCGTGGTGGCCTGTTCTTTTTTCAAACTAATTACTCCAACATATTCAACTTTCGCCTAGCAAGAAGATATTTCTAGATCAATACATTTCCATCTTCTTCCAATAGTACCTTCGTTTCGCTGAGTGATTCTCACTTGCAAGGAATGTCAAACTTCAAAATCAGTAAGTAGAGCTTTAGCTAGCTAAACTGAAATCACCAATGAATTTACGGATACATTACACAAATCCATGGTTATATGCTATGGAAGTCTCAAACTCACACAGCAACAAATTCCATACCAAAATACTAAAATTTTACAATTGCAAGAAGAAAAAAACCATACCACAAACAAACCTGAGCTTTGGAGATTATCTTGACGGCGAGAGGTGTGTCCTTGAGCTCCCCCTTTCTCCCTTTGGCACAGCAAGTGTGACCAAAATGCCCTCTCCCCACCTCTTTCCCCAGCTCATACTTGGCTCCGAAATTCTTGTTGTACCCAAAATTCTTGTCCAGCGCGTGCTGTTGCTGCTGCTCGGATTCACCGGCGTCTGCGTCCTCCGGTATGGGGCCCTCTCTCGGAGGCTTCTTCCTCTGCCCCAACTTCCTCAGCGACGCCCTAATATGCTTGGCAGGCGACGGAGGTGGGAACGGCTTCTTGAAAAATCTCCTCGGCGTCGACCTCGCCGTGGAAGGAGACA